AAAATAGAATGTCAACAAATTTCTAATTTAAGGCAATAAAAAAAGTTACTACAAAAGCTTTGTAATTGAAACCTACTAAATTCTAATTTAAGGCAATAAAGAACTTACCACAAATGCTTTATAATTGAAACCTACCAAATTCTAATTTATGGCAATAAAGAACTTACCACAATTCTTTATAATTGAAACCTGTCAAATTCTAATTTAAGGCGATAAATAACTTACCACAAAAGCTTTGTAATTGAAACATGCCAAATTCTAATTTAAAGCAATAAAAAATTTACCACAAAAGCTTTATAATTGAAACCTGCCAAATTCTAATTTAAGACAATAAATAACTTACTACAAAAGCTTTATAATTGAAACCTACCAAATTCTAATTTAAGGCAATAAAGAATTTACCACAAAAGCTTGGTAATTGAAACCTACCAAATTCTAATTTAAGGTAATAAAGAACTTACCACAAATGCTTTATAATTGAAACCTGCTAAATTCTAATTTAAGACAATAAAGAGCTTACCTTAAATGCTTTGTAATAAAATTTGGGTAAATTAACCATCATAAAATTCTTCAAAAAATCTGTAAAGATGATAGGCTGGAAGGATTGTTGTGTCCAACACTTGATTTATATTATCAGCATCCTTCACTACTCATACATAAGTGGAATAACCAAAGGACCTCTATAAAAGAAATAATGGATTCCTTTTTCTTTTTTTAATAGATAAGAGAGAAGGAATTGTCAATGTGAGTTGCATGATTTATTTATATATATATGAACAACTGGATAACACTAAAGGTAAGAAAGACCAGGCTTTAGAACTTGAATTACCAGGGCATATGGTCCTAAAAAATGTATTAACTGCAAGCATTATTCCCTGACATATATAACTACCTTTGTTTTATGGAAATGATCTTAAGATTGAGAGTTCAAAACCAAGAACTCAATTCCCACTTAGCGATTAAGCAATTCGGATCTTCATAATCATAAGTTCACGCGGAAGTCTATTTCTAATTTATACAAGAGTAATTACATAAAAAATAAATGTATATGAATATTGTATGATATCTCTAATTGTCGTTCAATCATGGTTTTGTTAAGGTAAGTAAAAAATAATATGAAAAACCACATATAATGCATTGGATAAGCATGCATCCAGTGGCTCGTATCCATAAAACATAATCTAACTGTTGGTAGGACACATCCCACATCATGGTTTTAAAATACGGCTGCATCGCCGCATATGCATCTGCATCATGTGGTATGCGGTGGGCTCCGCATCAAAACTGACTGCATATGCATTTTTTACCTATGCGGCTACATATGCGCCACATTAGGCCGCATCGTAGCTGCATCCTGCATCACACCGCATCACACTGCATCCCCTTTCGTCGAATTTTTTTTCGATTTGCCCCTCGGGGAGGGGCAAAATGGTCTTTTTGACCATCAAAAAATTGGGGAAACTGTTTGGGGGTACCCGTAATCGATGATTTCCAACCACTTTAGTGGCCTTTTTTGTATCAAATCGACAAAACAAAAAATTTGGTAGAAATTTTCATTCAAAATTGACTCTCAAAATGGATGATTGTAATAAGTTATTAACTATTAACTCTTCTTGAGCTTGACTTTTGGTTTGTAATATTACTATTTTGTACTTATGGTTGTTTATGGTTGTGCTTATAGTTATTGATGGTTGTGCTTTTGTGCTTATGGTGCAATTTGTGCTTATGGTTGTTGATTGTTGAATGTTTTATGAAGCTAGTTTCAAGTTTCTATTAGGGAATAGTGGATAACTGGATACAGGATATCTAAAAGTTAATAATTTTTGAAGTTAATCATTAAACTAAAATACCTACTATCACATATATCTCCTCCATATTTTTTACTATGTATTAACCTATTTTTTTAGAATTTTTTTTTTAAAAATTACATTTATTGACCGTATCCTCGCGATGCACCCTCATTCAGGTCGTATCGCCGCATCGGCCCCCATCTCTTTTGGCCGCATCCCGCATTTTAAAACACTGCAACCCACAGTATTAATATAAACCTATTTTCTTTAAGGATATCATCTTTTATAAACATAAATCTACAAACCTTGCTCTGATACCATTGTTAGTCCTAATAAAAATAATAACAAATAAATAAAATTGAAATCGATAAACAACTTACTCGGATATGTCCTTAAATCACATGACGGACCTAAGGTTCCATACCAAATCCTATAGACCTAGGCATCCGATGACAAATAACCTTGAGAGCACTCGTTGGTGAATCTCATTCACCTCTTTTCTATCATTCTCTATCTTTTTTAGAGGAGTTAACCTCTTTTTATAAAGAACACCTTTATTTAGCAACTCTCACATTCATGGTCTATAGGAGTTGAGATCCAAGTGTAACTCATGCCTTAATTCCCTTAAGTGCAGCTAATTAGGATTAACAAGTTGTCACCAAACTGTTAATCATATGTAATGAGTTAAACATGTCATTAGTCAGCTAATGAGTCATATAATAGGATGTTGTTGAAGCATTCCCACAATTTATAAGGAATCCAAACACACCACTAGGTTTTCCCTCTCGTGATACTGGGTTTTTCCCTCCAGTGATATATCCTATTAAAGCTAAAAAATTGATCAATGTATATGACATTACCTCATGTTAACCGCATGGGATTTCACATATACTTCAATATGACTTTTGTGCCATTTTTGAAAAAAATAAATTTTCGGGAGAAAGAAGGCTTGATAGGCCATGTGTCCAACAAGGGATTGCCTCGCCACTATGTTGGCACATCACTAGGGCCATAACATCAACAACATGGCCAAAAATGTTCAGACGATGGTAGCTCAAGTCACCAAACTAACACCCTCTGAATGCATCCGCAAAATCACATACTTGTATCCAACGTTAGGGGTAGCAATATTGATGTCTAGTAGCATCGGCCCCGACATATGTTGGGCATAATAGTTTAGAAACATGGTTTGGTTTAAAACAATGGAGGTGGGGGCGGGGGGTGTGTTTTGATTTTAGAAACCAAAACTGACCACTCGCAAGTTCTGGTTTCGACTGGTTTTGGTAAACCGGTTGAGTATTTTAAAAAATAAATAAAAAATTATACAAAATTCGAAAAAGTAAGGGATTTGCTTGTAATACTTTTTTTTTATATCATTTTGGCAAAAATTGGAAATTTCTTTGGCCATTTTACTTATTTTTTCATTTTTCCGTATTTTGAAAAATTTCAAAAGTACCCCTTTGCACAAATCGATTTTTTAAAATCTTTTTTTTCATTAATTTTCAACTTCATTAGATGTACTTTGTTTAATCATGCTTTAGATATACTTTTCATACTTTATTATTTTTTTATATTTTTTATTTTTAACACTTTTTTGATCGCTCGAAACTTGACCAGTTACGCCGATTGAACCAACCGGCTGACCGATTAGGTCCGTTGAACCGTTTATGGCCCCATGCACAGTTAACCATTCCTGTTCGAGTTTCCTAAACTGTTTTTAGTACATCTGGATGCCTTCACTCAAATGTGATGGTTGTTTTATTTGGAAATGCCATTGCTCGACCCATCTTTTAAGTTTCATTTGAAGTATTTGAAATTGAACTAGAATTGAATTGAATCGAATCCAAAGATATAGGGATTGTTTGGGAAAAGTAGGTTTATAAGATGAAATTTTTTCCCTTTGTCAACCTAAAATAAAGCATCCATTCAATATCAATGATTTTCTCTAATTACCTGAGTGGCTTCATAACCTAAGTGAGAACCAGGGATCGAACGGATGGATATCCCACTTAGCTTGCACACTATGTCTCATCAGCCTTGGTCTTGGGTGATGAAACAATCTAAGAGCTATTTTCCACTCTCTATTTGGCTATATTAGAGATGCTATGAAGTTCCCACCAAGTTTAGGAAAAGGGAATAGTATATCATGAGAGATTGTATGTTATAAAGAGTAATTATCCTACGAGACCTTTCCACACCCATATGTGTAGGACTTCAAAGGATCACCATTAAGTTTGACACAAATCTCTAAAAAAGTTAAGTCTCACACTCATGTGATAAAAATTCTAGAGATCTGTGCCAAATTTAATGGTGATAATTTGAGGTCCTACACACATAGGTGTGTAGGACATCAAAGGCTCAGTGTAAGACCTTAAAGGTTCACCATTAAATTTGACACAGATATTTAGAAAAGTTATCACATAGGACCTTCCCATACCATGTGTAGGACTCCAAAAAATCAAAATTAAATTCGGCACACACATAGGATCATTACTCATTATAAAACTATTTATGTTTTGTGCAAAAAAAATCACAATCATTCACTAGATGTCAAATCTAACTGATTGAAATTTATCATAGCATTTGATAAATTTTACTTTCAACGTTGTGCCTAGTCGATGATAAATCTCCGGCCATCTAATTTCAAATACGAATTTTAATTATGGTTATGATCTCCTTATACTAAAAAATAAAAGAAAATGGTTTGATAGGGTTGCAACCCTATCAAAATAAGTAAATCGTCACTTTATAACTCATAAAAATTACAATTCAAATGTTGAAAAACTTTTAAATCGATTATCTCAGCTTGAATATTATGGTTGTACAAAAACATTAGGATTTTAAATTTTAAAAATAGTGTATATTACAACAAATCATCTTGACTATTCTAATCGCCCTCAAAATAAATATGCACATATCCGCAAGATCTATGCCATTCTTTTTGTTTCAACTTTTGTTGACGATGTTGAAAATTAATTTTAAAGCCATTATGAAGATTTTCGATAATAAAAGTGCTTTCTGATAAGGATTTGAGGTGAGGCTTTTATTTTGTTTTCATTTCATCCAAAAATAAATGGTCTTACTATATACATTACCATATTATATTCCTAACTGTTGTCACCATTGTCGCTAACAAACGTATGGTGATGGAGAGATAGTACGACCAACGAATCACTGGGCGGTGATAACACTTCCAAGTCATAACCCTCTCTGCTCAACATGAGAAGTTGGCAGCGAAAGCAAGGTGGTTCGACTTCTGAAAAGACCTTCCCCCTTTCTCTCTCTGAAACGCCATGGAAGAAGGCAAAAAAGGACAGTCCATTGAGAAATCAGAGAGAAAGAATGGGGAAGAGAGAGAAGGGAAATTTTTGTTGGGTGAGCCGACTTTCAAAGAGCTGGAGAATGGGAGGTTCAAGTGCTTGGAAACAGGTCACGAGGTATCATCAAAGGACCTCAAGTCCTACAGTTTGAGCAAGAGTTGTAGATTAGGGCTTATTGATCATGCTCTCTCTCATAAGAAGCCTCCACTGAATCTATTCGAGCAAGACCCTCTCTCAAAGTATGCCTCTTTTTTGTTACCTCTCTGCTTCTTCTTTTTCTTTGTCGTTTTTCCCTCTTTCTTCTGAACTCATATCCCCAAATTTTATGATGGGTTTCTATTAAATGCCTTAAAAAGTCTTTGCCTTTGATGATTTTTATGATTTTGGCTTTCGTTGAGGAGCTAGAAATGAATGTTGCCTCACTTTTTCGAAATTCATGTGTCTCTGTAAGAGGTGTGCATTTGCAAGCCCTAGTCTTTTTTTTTTTTGGTTAGTTGTTTCCACAGTTCAAAGATGGGTTTTGAGGAATTTTTGTGACATATTATTGAAAAGCATGGATGGATTTCAAATATTTTTTATGCCTAACTAGATGATGATTTGGACAGACTTGCATAAGGGTTTAGGAGTCTTTGATGGGATTTCAAATATTTTTTATGCCTAGCTAGATGATGATTTGGACAGACTTGCATAAGGGTTTAGGAGTCTTTGATGGGATTTCAAATATTTTTTATGCCTAGCTAGATGATGATTTGGACAGACTTGCCTAAGGGTTTAGGAGTCTTTGGCATTAAACAATATGGGTATCTCTGAAAAAGATTCATTTTGAATTTAGTGGCAAACTGTATATCGTTTATATTTAGTAATGAAGTTCACATGGAAGGGGCTTATTTTGACATCCACCGATGTCAACCCATTTTCCAGAAGGCATCCTACGAGTTGGTAGGGCATGCATATCATAGAATGCCATGCAAAAATGTTGCAGTTTGCACAAACAAGCATATGTATGACGTTTCGAGGATAACTAAATTAGGTATATCTTGGAGTCTTATTTTCTCGCTGCGCGGGGTACTTGGAGTCACTGGTATTGCCTCATATATTTCAAATATTTTGCTATCATATAATTTCAAGATAGTTTTTGTTTTCATTGTTGAAGTTTAGAATGCTGTCCTTTTGATCATTGAAAGCTTCCTCAGGCTTTACAAGCTTTTTAAAATCTTTTTCAGTTTCCATAGTTCCTTTTTCTCTTTGTGTGTGTGTGTGTGTGTGTGTTGTTGCTTTACTTGATATACTCTGGTGTTCTGGGTTCTCGAATATTATGTTGCTTATGGATTTTTGGTTAAAATATATCTTTGTCTCTGTATTTCTATTCTAAGTAATGGTTGCAAAATGTGTAGTCTAAAATATGCTTACAAAGCAGCATCGATCATCAAACCCAATGTTATCAAAAGTGGCCTCCTAGGGTTTGTGTTAGAAGTCTCTCCTTTACTAAGGTTCTGCATGTGGCAATGAACCCCCCAAATGGTGAAATATAGTGCAGTATGTAATACCAAAGCTCTAATTTTACCAAAAAACTTAAACAAGCACCATAGTTTGAAATTTCTCCGCATAGGAGAAGGAACTATTGCCCTATAAAAGTGATTTAAGACCAAATTTTGGTTTTAATGCTCCACAATAGCCGAAAATGAGTCTTTGTCAGATTCAAAGTGGACCATACCTTCCCATTCACAGAAAGGGATGAACAGTATTTTTTTTTTTTAATCTTAACTTTTGTTTCTTTTTTCTTTTTAATATATATATTTTTACTGCCTGGGAGTTCTATGGGTATGGACTATCCTTGAAATTTGGCTTTAGAATATTCCATTAATGTTCCATGAGTTCAAGTCTTGTCTTTCTTAGATGCGGCTTTCATTCGATATTTCCATAATAGGTTGGTCTTTTGAGAATTGTGGATTTCATCAATCTTGAGATCCTTGCTCTGATGTCCTGTTTGTGGCTTTATCTTTTTGTTTCTAAAATGCCTCTTGTGAAGGGCATTTGTCTCGTTAAAGAGTGTCTCCAAAGCAGTTGTCATGGCATTTGAGGGACTCATTTCAAGTATAATTAGATGCATCTCCCAACTTAATTTCTTAATATTTTTAAGAGGCATTAAAAACAGAATGAAGTGGTCTTATTAGATGCATCTCCCTATTTAATTTCTTAATATTTTTAGGAGGCATTAAAAACAGAATGAGGTGGCAGATTAATTATATTTACTGGGAATTATTCTAATGAATAAGACTTTATGCAAAAACTTTATGTTCTTAGGTGGAAGTTTGTGAATAGTCCCAACTTAGTTATTAAGAAACTATAGTAAAACATGTTACGATTGATAACAGAATTTCCCAAAACTTTGAGAATGATGCTTTTTCGATTGATATATAAGCATCTATAAATGATGGCTAAGAATCTAAATAAACCCCAAAGAAAGCAATACTCTAGCAAACTCTTGATTTGTTCCAGCTGTTCAATTGGCAATGGGTCACACCGCAGTCCATCCCTGCACCCTTTAGATCCTTTCAGCCCTTCCCTTTGCCTAAATCTGGTATCCTCTTGTGGAAGGCCTTAGTTGTGGCTACCCTATGGGTTCTCTGGGCTGAGAGAAATAACAGAATTTTTAGGGGAGAAAAGAGCTCGCTGATAGCCTTATTCGAGAAAATCAGATGCTTGGTTATCTTTTGGGTGAGTAGCCATAAACGCTTCAAGGCTTACCCCATGCGACCTTTCTCCAGAATTGGCTGGCCTTATTGATCTTTAAACAGCTCTGAGCCCCCTGTGCTTCCCGATGATCTCCACCTCCACTTGGATGCAGCGAACTTAATTTTGACGGTTGCTCCCTAGGCAACCCAGAATCCACAGGCATGTGGCATCACTAGGGATCACGAGGCAAGGGAGACTTGCCTCGTTCTCTGAACACATTGGTCATACTGATTCCCAAACAACTGCAGCATTTGCTCTCCTGGAAGGCCTCAAAGTATTCGATCCCCATTGGAGCCAGTGTTTAATCAGATTGGCCTCAGACTCCTCTCCTGCTCGCTGGTGTCTTGCCTAAGTATTTGACGAAATTGCTCACATCTGCAGGCATATGGATGTCTCATGGAGGCATATCTGGCAGGAAGACAACGCAGAGGTAGACACCCTCACTAAGGATGAGGCATACAGCAGTACTGCTTGACATTTTGCAAGACTTTTTGTATTCTCAGCACTCCTCTGTGAGGATTTTTTGTAACTCTCTGTCTATACTCTCCTCACCTTCTTGGTGATTGTGTATAGGGCAATCTCGTAAGGGGTTTCCTCACACATTTTTTGGTATAGAGCTCCCACTTGGTGGGAAGCTTATTTTTTGTATTGAGCTCCCGATATATGGGAAGCCGAAAACTTACTACTTGTAGCTTTCTTTACCTTAATAGAATAGAACAGTTGACTGCTTCAAAAAAAAATTCTTGATTTGTTCCATAGGGCATTCTAGGTCTTGCTAAAAGATCCTGTATGTTTCCTGTTTTCTAGTGGTCTAGATAGTGAAGAAAGGAAACTCATTGCATTAAAAAGTTGCAAAATGCCTTGCCAGGCATACAAGATTATTAAAAATTGACGTAGTCCTTTTCTGGTACACTTTTTCATCACTCCTATGGAGGAAAGATTTTGAGATGTTACATTGAGACATTTCTTTTGCATTGCTGATTTTTAGAGGGCCACTTCCATCTTTTACAATTAGCATTAAATAATAAAATTAAAATGGAAGTTCACTATTCTCAACTCATCCTTGGTAACCTATTTTGAGCCGAGGTGTTCACCTTATCTTTAGCTTTAAGATGGAAGCTCCATGTTGTCTACTTGACCTTTTGATTGGTCTTGGCAATTTTTTGTCTCCTATAATTAGTGTAGCACTACTTGAATTCTTATAACAGCTTGCAGCTTTATCTAGACCTCCTAGTCATGGAATGAGCATGGTTTCATCGTCTTATTTTCTGGTAGAAGATATTGTTTTACTTAGTATTTTTATGCTTTATTGGTTAACCGAACATGCCTTCAGTTTTTGTTTGTTTAAATTCTGATGGCAGGTCAAAGCTAGTTTGTAAGTTAACAGGAGACTCAATCAATAAATCTGAGGAGCATATATGGAAACACATAAGTGGTAGAAGGTTCCTAAATAAATTAGGTACATTGGGATTCTATGATTTTTTTTTGTAGCATGTCTTCATAATGTTTAATACCTGGGAGTAAAAAACATGTTAAGATTGGAATTTTGAAATACTTTTGCGGATCATTCTGAGCAGAGCAAAAAGAAGCAGATCAAATTGGTTCCCCTAAACAGGAAAAGAAGAAAGAAAATTCAAAGCCACCAAAAAAGGTAACCAAGAAGAAAAAGAAGGAAGTCGATGGGAATGATGATCTCAAAACCAGTGAAGCCGTCGATAAAAATAGTGACTCAGATGAAGACTTTTGGGTTCCTCCTGTAGGAAGTCGCTGGGACTTTGATGATGGTAATGATCGTTGGCATTCTTCTATGAGCTCAGGGAGTGACACAGATGATAACAATGAAAAAGGTTGGTTCTTGTTAGTATCTCATTGATTTTATCTTTTGGGATCCATTTGAATACATTGAGCCATTTTCATGGGATAGTCTTCCTAAAATCGTTATTTTAACTAGTTAAAATATATTAATACCACTGGCTTTAAAGTACCATAGGCTGTTTAGAATATCTTGAACATGGTTAATATTGGATCTGCATAAGTGCTCTGAAAATTGTGTTGTTCATTCCCTAAAGCTACACTTGTTAAGTTGAACTTTAACTTGAGGTATATATAGGCAGTAAGTCTTCGTGAGTACTGAAATCTAGAGAAGTTATTCCAATAGCTTCTATTATGGAGGGTAAGGATTTTTGTAATGTTTACATACAATGGGATTCATGGAATCTCATGTTTTTTATTGTACTCGAAGTTTTCATAATCACATAATTGCGTCGGATTAACTTAATTCGGATGTCATTTTGAAAACTTTGATCAGCTTCCCATAGATATGTTATTTTGCTCGGATATCATAAACTTAACTGGAGTCTTTGTTTAGAAAGGTATGTTTAATAGTGGATGTATATTGTCAATCTCACCTGATTCTTGCTATTGGAATATATAATCCCAAAGTTTAATAGTGGATGTATATTGTCAATCTCACCTGATTCTTGCTATTGGCATATATAATCCTAAAGTTTTATATAATATCCTAGCATTTGAGTTTCATACAACTTGCTAGCACCTCTCTAACGTCTAATGTCAACAATGGGCGGCTGGGGCAAATTGTAGGAAGCCTAATGCTAGCCTGGAATACTTTCACTGGTTCTGACATTAGAAAAAAGTGAATCCTCATTCTTTTAAAAAGTGGTGAGCAATTTTGTTACATATACTCAAATTCTTGTTTGTCTCATTTATTGTAATCTGCATAGAATCCTAAGTTGATTTGCACTACCTTTTTTCAGTAAAGGATGTGGATGCACTGAAAGATGTGGAGATCGGCAACCTTTCCTTGCGGCATGCTCCTTATCTTGCTCGTATTTGTTACAAATTTTCTGGAGGTATATCAGTTAACTTTATTTCATGTGTGTTGAATGCTTATTTTCCAGGACCAAGCGAATGCCCGATGGTCCTAGCAGCTTTGCCTCCAGAAAGAAGAAGAATAAGGTAGAAAATCAGAGTGCTCCGGTCATGGAGTAAGGATCACAAAGACTACATCATACTAGTTTGTGATCTGCATCATACTAGTCAAGATACAACCATATCCATAAAATGAGAAAAGTGCAAGTTTACATGGACAAATAAACTGCTCCATACCACAAATTGGGTGTTTGCTATCTGTTAAATTGTGCATTTAAAGAGCCCCATATTGGAGATTTTGAAGTCTAATTTTGCAATTTTGGTAGATGAAAAGGATGGTTAAGGGAGCCTCGACCATTTAGTGCTCACCTTTTGAAAAAACTTCGAGATTTGAAACCGGGTAATTGATGCCTTACAGACGTGAGATTCTGATGGATGCTGAGGTCGTTCCACTCTTTATGTAAATTATGGAAACCTTTGATATTTTGAATTTCACTAGTACTGAATTTGTCTTTTAACATTTTCTGCAATATTGGATGGTTTGGGTTGTTATTAAGTTATATATATATATATACACACAACGGTTGTATAGTAATATAATGTATCTACACATCTAAAAAGCTATGTTTGTAGCATATTTATCATACAAAAAATTGCACATATCCTCTTTTCATCCCAATAGTTATCTTTCAAAAAAATAAGAATGAATTTGCTTCATAGATATAGTTAAAATGAGTCCTCTTCAATGAATCTAGATCATTTATTTGGTCAATTTCAAGATCTAGGCTTTTACAAATTAAAAACTATTTTTTTTCTTTTTCAACATTTTTCATCTAATGATAACAAAGGTACAACAAAATTTTGATTATAGAAGAATCCTTCTAAAGCTTAGAACTAAACACTTTAACAAAATAGAAGGCTTATGTTAATTAGGCTATAATAACACTTTTTAGGGTGTATTTTCAAAATTTGTTTTTTTTGTGACTATTCAATAGAATGAAAAGAGTGTATATTTAAAAATTGAGATCAAACAAATGGTACTAATATGGTTTTGAAAGTTGTATTATATTACTATACAACTGTTGCATGAAATCATTCTTCATATATATTTATATATTTTGCCATCGCCATGTACATAGCAAGTCTGTAGCCGTTCATTGAACAGACCAGCAATGGATGACATGTCGTTGTAGTTCCTTATGAATTTTTTATCGTTATGGAATTAGCACATCTGTGATGGTACCGTCATGAACATGTTAGGTTCGTGGCTATCGAATATATATATATATATATATATATATATATATATATTTGTATTATTTTTTTAACTTTGAGTTTAGTCAACGGCACAATTGTAACCACTACCGGACGAGAGTGATTGTGATGCACTAAATAGCCTTTCTGTATACTTTTCCAAGATTGACATTTGTCACACATTTGCGTCAATCAATCTCTCTCCCACGCATGCACGCACACACAAACATACATGCATGCACACATGTCACTCCAGTAATAAGAAAAAGAAATCATTCCCTCGTGTGCATGCAACGTTTTGAAAACAGGGAAATTTTTGATGCAATATTACTGCCTGAAAGGATACAAATCTGCTATTCCAACCCAATCCTTTTACTTACCCAAAAAAATAAACCCAATCGTTTCAACTGTGCAAGACATGGGAATGCCAATATCATTTGAATTCGATCAACTTCGATGAAGGTTTCCAAGACATGAGGGTCACAGACAATATCGAACTTCAATTAACCTTATGATATTCATCTTAAAAGAACTTCATCTCACAGCATTGGACATGATTATTGATATTTTAATCAACTTAGGAAACATGAATTTTCATATGGTTCTAGCAGATGTCATGAAAACAGCAAGTGCAACCTGCAAGAGAAAGCGAGAGGGAGAGAGTTCTCCAAGGCAAACTTAAAGAGGCTAGAGAAAGAGAGAGGGATAACTACCCAAGATGGAGAGGTTTGGACTGAGCCATTCGGCAGGAAGCTCATTGAGATGGCGCCGACGATATGTAGAACTTGGAGGAGACAGGAGGAACGAACAAGGATGTCTGAACAAGAGCTGGAAAGAGGTTCTTATGCGTGACAAAGGGAAAGAACCACAAATTGAAGAAAAGAACGAGAACTCTTCTCAGGACCGGGCCTTTCATATGAAGGGACCAGGAGTTGTTATACATCATACAGAATTGCCTCAATCTTGTCAAAGCTATGGAGGAAGTCAAGGTCATTGAGCTTGGGGATAAATGTTACGAACTTGCAGTAATACTCAAGAACCGTTTAGTTTGTTCTCTCAGCACTCCAATCAAAGATCTTAGCATGCTTCAAGATTGGGCACTCAAGACATGGGGCTGTAGTTTGGCTAGTAGAACTATAGCAGGAGGCCGAGCCCTAATCATCTTTGATAGAGAAGAAAATGTTAGACCTATGTCCAAGCAACATTTTTGGAGATTCAAAGGGGTCCTGATGAGTCTAGAGTGGTGGTCCCTTAAAGCAAACCCCTCCCTAAAACATCTGTCCTCTATTTGGTTGAGTATAGAAGGAATCCCCATTCATGCATGGACCACAGAAGTCCTTATTATCTTAGCGCTGAGGGCGGCAAACTTCTAGAGGTGGATTGGTTTACTTCTGCTGGACCGGTCTTAGGCAAGTTAAGGATGAAGGTACAGGGGATACAAGATGATCCCTAACTCCCTTATGTTAGAAGTCCTTGGAGATTATAATTCTCAGAGAGATATAGAGAGGGGGCATCCAGGGGGTCAAGCTGGGCTTCGAACTCGAGACCTTGATGCGCATGAACAACATGCTCCCAGGACAACATGTGAAGCCGTCAAGTCCTTGGAAAATATTATCATATTTCGATTATTACGGAGGAGAGCCCAGCCACTCTCATCCCATCCACCTCAAGCTCCATGGACTCAGTTGTGGACTCAGTTACTCAACCTGCCGACAATATCAAGAAACAAGTGGAGACTTCAGGGCAGCAACGGAGGATGGTTTCAAAAATGAGAGGAATATTATTCGAGGTGGTCAAAAACCAAAAATGCAAACCTATAGGCAAATTTGGAGGAGGAAGGACATTTGTTTAGAGCATGCCACTAGTTATGGCAGGAAAATGGTAAGCAGTTGAAGTTCAAACTCGAAGGACACCTCTCCCTCATCAGCTACCAGGCCAATGAAGATGCAACCTCTGCTGCTCGATTATGAGAGTGATATGATGAAATTTCAACCTCTATATTGGAGGTAGGTATGCCATGTTCTCAAAAACCACAAAGCTAATTCCTTGGAGACCACCATTGTCGCTTCCCATGTAGTAGACGTGTAGAGTTTGAAAAGACGGCTTCATCTGGCTCAACGATCGCCGTCCACACTACCCAACCGGCGGTGATGGAGACAAATGAAGGATCTTCTCAATCCATGATGCACTAGAAGTCGGCGGACACGATACGTTAGACAGAGGAGGCTGATAGCCAAGATGTCGAAAAGCTAAGCATGGCCCTCTGCACTCCCTCTTTCCCAAGTTATACAACCCGCCATATCATGCCTTTACGTGCAAATAGAATGTCTTTAAATGGAGGGTAGCGACAAGGGGATGCTCATGATCCTCTGGTTCTTTTTGTCTGGCCTTACCTTTTCATTCTTACACAACTTTTGCCTTCCACCCCAACCCTAAAGATTCCGACATGGCTCCCTAAAGGTTCACGATCTTCGAGTCCAATGACCAATCTGTCACCCATTGTAACCTTGCTCTGGTCCCAGCCCTCTCAGAGGGCACTAGTAAAATGTCATTATCTCAATGGAAAAAGTTGTAGTTGGGGAAAACTGACTCTCGAAACACCTTCGATGGCAGCGGCTGAGGAACATAAAGCCAGGGCCTTGCCTTTGGCCAATAATACCCATGCTCCTCCTATCCTCATCACAAAGTCCTTCGACTCCTCAAAGGAAGATATCTCTCCAAGATTTGCAAATTGTTTGAAAAAGGACAAGAGGGAGAGATGGTGGGGAAGGCCTAGGAGATGTTTGGTGCGATGCAGATCAAGTTGGGGTCTATCGAGGTTGTGGAAGAGGTGATTGGCATTGGGGAGTTGCCAGCTCCATCCCCTAACCCGAGACTGAGGAGGTTGAGATCGAGAATGCAGTGGGAGGCCGAAGAACTAGCACCCGAGCTACCTTTCAACCCACTTTATGCTGGCCCATCTAGGTTCACCAGAGGTGGTAGGGACTTCCGTCCCAAATGAAGCTACCATCCTGAAATGTTAAAGAGTTGGGGGAAAATAAGAAAGAAGGATTTTGCAGAAAATGGCACCAACTCATATGCCGCAAATCATTCTTCTTCAAGATACAAAGCCACCTTCCCCTGACATTCCTCTAATTAGAACTTTTTGGGGCTCTGGCCTGGTGGATTTCTATTTCTTTGCTTCAGCTAGCTTATCTGATGGCCTTTGACTATGTGGGACCTATCTGTTTTAGTGGGTTTTGTTTTTAATCTCTCGTTTAAATGTATCTCTGTTTTGTTTGATGGTCATGGATCATTTTCTTGGTGCTTGACAAATGTGTATGGGCCCAATGCTTTTATTGATAAGGATTCTTTTTTTGTTGCTTCATCGGATATTATTGTGACATCAAATGTGTCGTGGTGTGGGGCTGGGGATTTTAACCAAAGAAGAGGACCGCATGAATCATTAAGGGCAACAAGTCTAACAAATTATATGGTTGCATCTGATAATCTCATCAATACAAATGGCTTAATGATTTCAATCTAGTGGGGATGGACCAATAATTCCTCCGTAAATGTTTAAATTGGATCTATTCCTTGTCATAAATGGATGGAAGGCTTATTTTCCAAAATCTATGGTTCTAACTTTGCCTCATTCAGTATCTGACCATTTCCCTATCCTTTTTGGATAGGGAAGATATTTTTGGTCAATCCCCATTTTATTTTGAATTAATGTGGGTTGGAGAATACAGCTTAATGGAGGAGGTTTGGGCTGTTTGGAATAGCACTCAAACGGATGGATGGGCTGGGTATCGGATGCGGCGAAAATTGTAAGCCCTAAACATAGGTTAAAGCACTAGGGAAGGACTAAATTTGCGGATGTTGTTGGAAAGATTAAAAATACTTCTAATAGCATTGAAGAGCTTAGTCAAATGGAACATAATAATGGAGGGCTAAACGAAGAACAAATAAGCAAGAGAAAACTCGAAGGTTTTTAGAAAGCCTGCTGGAAGAGATCTTTTGGCATCAAAAAATCTAGATCTAAATAGATCAAAGAAGGGGACAATAATATTAAGTAATTCCATGCGATAACAAACAAAACGAGAAGAACAAACAGTTTCAGGGGCCCAATGCTACCAGGTGTGGAGCAAGAAGACATAAATGGAACTGGAAGTGGCCATTGTTCAGTTTTTCGTAAAGCATTCACTTCAGAGCCTAGACTGCCATGTCCATAAACAATCTCCCTTTCAAAAGACTCTCCAGAAATTCAGCCATGACCTTAGAAGAAGAATTTAGCTTGGAAGAAATTAAGAAAACAATTGGTAAAAAAAAAAACGAAATTAAATAAGCAATATTTGGTCTCCTTAGAGACAAGGCCCCGGGGCCAAATGGGTTCCCGATTGCTCACTTTCAAGGTTTCTGTGAGATTTCAAATATGATCTGATAGAATGGTTCCAACAATTTTACAATGATATGGTAGTCAATAAAGCCTTAAACTCCACTTTTATTGCTTTAATACCAAAAAAACAAAACCTCACTTCCTTGTCGGACATCAGACCTATTAACCTGTTTTTGGCTACTTCCAAAATATTGGCAAAGGTGCTTGGGAAATGTGTTGAATGAGGTTGCAGAAGTACTCCAAACAACTTTCATTAAAGACTCACAAATATTGGATGGGTGGAAAGAAAGATATCTTTCTTTTGGTGGGCGTATTTACTCTCATAAAACCCCCACGATCCAATCTCCCCATTTATTACTTGTCCTATTTTAGAGCTCTTGCATGAATAATTAAAAGGTTGGAGGCAACAATGAGAAACTTATTATGTAGTGGATCCCAAGATTGCAAAGAGTCCCACATGGTAAAATGGAGCACGCTACCTAAAAGAAAAGGTGGTTTGGGTTTCCGAAAACTTAATACAATAAGTGACGCAGTTCTTATTGGTGGATACTTGCCAATCACAATGGCTAGTAGCAGGGGGGACATAGTCACTGCAAATATAGATGAGATCAAAGCTGACTTATGACAAAATAACTGCCCAAAAATGCTTGGCCTCAATGGTATTGAAAGGAATTCAGTCAAATCCCTCTTCATTGCATATACTAGAATGTTGGTTGAAGATAGGGGAAACAAGCTTCTGGAACCCCGAGTGGCTTGGTAACTACATGTTCAAAGTTCAATTTCCAGAATCATATCAGAGACCCAGACAGAAAAATGCCCTTATCAAAGACATGGTCGGGGGAGAGGCTGACAGGATTATTTGGAATGTCTCCCTAGATGTACGAGGAGTTAGCCATAATGGAAAACCATTATCTTCTCTAATGGCAACAGTATGCGGCTTTTTCAAATTCTCAGAAAACAGGACTAGGTAATTTGGGAACCAGAGCCTAATGGGATACTCTCTATCAAATCTTTATACAGAGAAATCTCAAGGGATCGTTTTGTACAACATAACATGGCACTCCATAAATACTGGAACTGTAAGGTTCCACATAAAGCGAAAGGCTTCTTATGGTTGCTAGTCACAAAATAAAACTCTGGCCATGGATCAGCTCCGCAGAAGAGGGATGATAATCACAAATGTGTGCTTACTCTAGTAAAAGCAATGAAGAAATCAATGACCATAATTTCATTCATTGCCCCTTGACAAGAGAATTTTGGGATTGAGTCCTTGAAAAATCATAGCGGATCTTACCCACGGATATCACAACTCTATTGGACCGAGCATGGTCCTCCTTGTTTACTGCTACTGGCCTGGCCTAATCTTGTGGAGGATCTTTTGGCAGTGGCATTATGGAATCTATGGAAGGAAAGAAATCAGTGTTTGAAGGGAGATCCAGAGTTGTACCCCAGGTGTGCACAACAATAGCCTCCACATACATACAGTGGGCACAAGCACAATCCGATTTTCATTGACATTCCAAAGGAGCTCCATGTTCAAAATATTAAAGACTTGTCCTCTAAGAAATCACCTCAGTTTGTTCTCTACGAATTCACCTCAGTGGAAACCACCATTGGGTCAAACTGAATTTTGACGGCACTGTTAAGGGTGAAGAACAAATTGCAGGATATGATGGACTGCCGAGGGATAATAATGGAACCACCATATGGACCCACGAGGGTCGATTGCATAGATGTGGGATTAATGAGGCAGAACCACGGGCCCTAAAAGCGATGTTATCAAACTTGATACAAGGTATTTGAGGAATGTAGTTGAAGGAGACTCGACAAACGTGAACAATTGGTACAAATCCCCTGCACATCCACCATGGCAGTGGAGCTCCATTATGGACTACATCTTGTATGGTTTACGAAGGAGGAGGTTATATTTAACCATGTCCACAGAGGACACAATCAACAAGCAAACAGACTAGATAAAGCTGCAACTGGTGATTAGCATGTGCGTTGCCGGAGTTTGGCATCTTTCGGAGGCTGTATCACTTTTACATAATACTATCTCATTTGCTTTAATAGTCTGTTGTTTTTTCTTTTCCTGTTATCCATTGATGCACTTTATTTTTATTCTCTCAATGAGATGTTAAAGTTCAAACAAAAGAAATAATAATATAAAAAAAAACCTTTATTATTTTGTATATTGTATATCCAATACTATCTATAATAAAGTACAAAAAAACTCACAAGAGAGCATAATACAATTTTGACATTCTATATTCTTCTTATATCTTGAATGCAGAAGACAAACAAAAAGGAAACAACAGAATTTTTCGTGATTTTTTGCTGCTTATTCGAACAGGCATTTCATGCATGAATTGTCGAGGGGTATCAAAATAGAGACTTCGTGATTTTTGTTGCCTCATCTTTCCTTAAAAAATCTCAGCCACTTAGCTTCAAATCCTTGTTGATGACGATTTGAGGAGGATCTGATCTACAAGCTTATCGGACAATTTCCCAGTCGCCTATACAAGAAACTCAAAACCAGTCATTTGTTGTGCTCACTAATTCAGTAGGCAGTATGATTTTACCTGAACATGAATCTACTGAATAAATAGGAAATAAAAGATAAAAACCTGAAAGTGTCTCATATGCAAAATTGGTTCACAACCCAGATCAGCAACTGATCTCCCATGGAGTGTCCTCTCTTCAAATCGACTGGCTTTATAAGTGGAAAGGCTATTTTCAGTGTCAGGAAGCTGATGGCATATTCTTAGTAGTGAGCTCAGCGAATTCATCTGTTGTATCAGAAATAAACATATCACAATTAGAGATGTCTATGGACAAGGAAAACTTATTTTCAATGTTAGAAATTCCACACATTCGTGTTAAACCCTTAAGTGATAGTGAAACTGTTAAACTCTATTTTCTGGATGACAATTCAGCACTGGCTAGAACACGACATCTATGATCATGTCCCCACAAAAAGTCATGATACTAAGAATTACGGAATACAGAGAAAGAAATCATATTGTAATCCAATGGCTACAGAATAGTCAACAGTCTGATGGTGTCATCACCATGCATTGAGATGATGTATGGTGACTTGAGAGTGGGTCCCACCAGAAAAGGACATGACCCTAGTGGTGGATCTCATTGTCTCTCAATAGTTGTCCATAGTTTCATAGGAAGGTGACTACTCCAAAGGGTTATGTTTTCTCATTGTATAATTCACCAATGGAATATGCAATACTTCCCCATACCCACAAAGTACCAAAGTAGAGCTATATAAAAGTACAGGAACTAGTACTTCCATTTCCATAACTTGTTAAACTCGTGCAAGAAACTACATATAGCAGAATGAAACTGAAAAATGGACAGGAACTGATTACCTTCATATATGGACAAGAAGCGCAACCACCATGAATAGAACATCCTTCGCCAGCTTGCACTCCTGGTACAACGGATAATTTAACCAAATCGCTAGAATCTATTGAACTCAAACCACCAAATGAAGTCACTGTTTTTGTTACTGCATTGGAAGAGACAGGAAACACAATCTCAACATTGATATATGCACTTCCAGGGCGAGCTTTCCCTGAAATAAGCAACTTTCGAATGGCTGCAACTATAGCTGTAATCATCCCTGATTCTGTTCCCAAAACAAATTGGAGGCTTTCATCTGTGTTTCTCTCTATGGCCTCTTTTACTCGTTGAGTGATGAAATCTAAAATGTTTTGGGTGGAACCCACTACTCCCATCCCTCTTTTTTTGGCTTCCATGGCCAAGGAAAACATCTCTCCTGGGACTTCGAAATGAGCAGTTAAAAATGCATCACTGTACCCGTCTCGTATCCTTGCTACTACTTCGCTCCCAAAAAGGTCATGGACAATGCAGGTGCCATCCTGATTAAGAGAAAAGTACACAAAATATGACTGATGAAAAACAATTATAAAACAAATTGGTTAAAGAAAATTTGAGATCAATTACATTTACCTACAAGTATTTTGCTGTTAATTTAATCTTTTGCTGAAAACTTACAAAACCCCAGAATAAATACAATTTCCAAAAAAAATGTAAAGAAATACTGATGCAGCAGAGTCAATTTTTATATCTCCATGACAAGGAAGATCTGCAAAAAAAATTAAACTATTGCACGATCAAACTTTAGTTAATTGGCTCCAGTCAAGATTCTTCTGTAAGTCTCTTGAAACAGGTAAATTTGTGTGCTCCCAAAAGAGAGGACAATGAGTGGTGCCATAAAACATATTTTCTAGGTTCTAGAATATGTAGGAGGAGAAGTCCACAATGGAGTCCCATGTGTCTCACATAGTTGCGTGCTAGTTTCCTTGTAGGATTGCTTAATGCCCTTACATTTTTCATGAGAAACCCTTGCTATACTGACCATAAATGCCTTAAGATAAACTTATAACAGCAGAAAGACATATGAGGAAAGATACTTATAACATTCCGGCATGACAGAAGGGAAGAATTGCAGGTTTCTACTTCTTAGGGTTACAATGTTTAATACAAATAACCTTTTATATCATGTTATTTACTTTGAAATTCAATGCAGAAGATCTCGCACCTTACTGAACTGTCATATTCACATTTTACAGACTGAAGCAATCTATTAAGGAAAGCAAATAAAACTGAGAAACAATGATATGCTTGATCACAATTATCTTATCACCATACAACAAATAAAGCAAACAATCTGGTACAAAATGGGCTATGGAATCATGGACACTGCATATATTTCTTAATAAGGAGGAAAACATTTGGCTATATGACAACTCATTGTCCATGATTGTCTCATAAGTAGTTATTGTGCTCATTAGATAGGTGGTTTTGGTGTTCATACATCCTTGACAGTTTTGTACTGAAACAGATAAGGTTATTGGGTAAATGGGCTCAAAATGCTCAATACTGTATAAACCGCCTTCTCACATATAGAAGAAACCCCAGAATCAAGTAATATAAAAATTATCACGTAAATTCATAGCTCTTAATAACTTTATTCTTTCTTTTTTTTTGCTTGAGAAAACATCATTAAAATGATACAACCACTTTAAAAATAATTGGGTTAATCAAGTTAAGTGATTTGTCAAAAAGAAGGTTAATTTTAAAGAGATCATTTCTCTCCATTACCTCCACGACAAATTTGTTTAAAAAACCTAAATGCCCCAATTCTGGATTTAAAATCCGGAACAAACAGGGGCATAATAATTCTACTTAAGTGGGCCAATCCAAATGATGTAAATGGCCAAGCTAAATCCATGTTCTAAACCCCAGACCATGTTTTTTTAGTAAATTATCTTAATCCGAGTTTGGAACCTGGAAACATGTCATTTGACTTGACATATGTGGTCCAAGCCAAATAATAAAGCTGCCCTACTTGTTTAGGGGCTCAAACCCAGAACATATTTCGTTCCATGATAATTTCTTGTTCTGTTTCAGAATCTAGAACAAGCAGGAGCCTTTTGGTAATTTGGTCCCACTTGAGTTTAGGGATGCAAGTATGCCAGGTTTGGGCTGGTCTAAAGTCGATCTAGGCACAGCCTCTGACACATAAATTTGACCCGGGTCCGGGAGGGCACCAACATCTACATAGCCCAAGCCTGATTCTTCAACTCGCCCATGCAAATAAAATTAGGTACCTATTTTTATTACCTGCGCAGGTGTGGGTTGGGTGGTTAGCATGTTGGACTCTTATTGTCGCCTTATTCAGGTTTGATTCGTATGGTGCTAAAGTACCTTTTTGCAAACTATTTTGTAATAAGCCGCATACCAATTCGATTCCACCGCCAAAAATATAGGTGTTGCAAAAAACTTAAGTAGCTGCTATGTATTATATAATAACCACCACTTACTAGTTTGATTCCACTACCCAAATATAGGTGTATCCAAAAACTTAACTAGCTGCTAGCTCTTATTATAAAATCAAGCACCACCAAAGGCATGTTCATAAAAGATCACTTACTAATTTGATGAAGTCACTACAAATATAGGCATATTAAAAACTAAATTAACTACTAGCTCTTATATAATAAACTACTACCCATGGATGGATCAATAAATTAACTGTGTTTGGTTCTGCCACCTAAAACATGGGTGGATTGTTGATGACTAATTAGATGCACTGATACACATTAAATGAACCCATCAGCTATCATTTGATTCTTCCACCCTAAACTTAATTAGCTCATGTCTTAATGGGTCAACATTAAAACACAATGGGCTGGGCTGAGTCAGGCCTGCATGGACTGTTAACCCTAATAAGGTCCCGAGGGGCCTCACGTCTGAGGCCTAAGCCTGGCCCGCTTAAAAATGCGGGCCTAAGTTAGGGCCTAGGGCCTAGCATGGCCCAACAGTCCCTATAAAGGGACCTAGATGGGGCCTGTCTCGGGTAGGCCTTGCTCAGCCTGTTCAACCGGCCTAGCAAACTTGCAGCCCTACTTGTGTTATAGGCTAAATTACCAAGCTAGGCTAGCTTGTTCAGGGTTCCAAACCCTAAACAGGGGCCTTTAGGTATTTCTTAACAAATACTTGAGGAGGCACTTGAGTGAAACAATCTAACTAAGATAACCACTTTGTTAATAAATTTGTTGATTTGACCACCTTAATGAGTTCTGGAGGTGGTTTGACCATTTTTATGATATTTCCCATTTATACATAAATCTCAGTACTTTTAAAGTGAGAAATTATAAAATTACAAGGAAAAGAAGAAATTTGCAAGAGTAATAAGACATATGAAGTAAAAACAGCATCATATGCTTATCTGAAGGAAGGTTGGTGGTAGTTCTATACTGGATGTATATACATTGTAAAGATATGCAACATATATAACAAAAGAAAACTATTTCCTGAGTAGGCAGACTCTGGAGTCTGCCCTAGATTTCGAGCGATGTAGGACCCAAAACACATCCCAAATCACTAAAAGTAATCCCACCACCGATCCATGAGTTTCGAGCTCTGATGATCTTTGAAGAAATTAAATGAAGATACAAACGAAAAAAAGTACAAATAGACCATTTGTAGTACGTAATTTATTTATTTATCACAAACTAATGGTCAAAGTGGTCTAGATGATGGACCTGCAAATTTTTGGATCCAAAATCCATCTTCAAGATGGATATTGAGAGGGTAGACTCACTGTAACAGTTGCATCTCTGGATGCACCTATATCCTAGATAAGTTAATATGTAACATCGACAACAGTGCCATCAGAATAAAAAATTGATCCAATAGTTTAAGATTGAATTTGCCTACACATTTATACACAACCAGAAAGTTGACATATAGATCTCACAAACGGTATGTGATTTGTTCAAGGAACTTTAAACTCCACATAATTATAAAATGTATACTATTATTGATGAAAATGACTCACTTGATAGTAGTGAAGATGGGGTAATAATGATCTTATTGAGCTCCTATTGTGCAGCGGATGGATCTCGAAGATTTCTTCATTCGACATGTTGGACATTTGTTGAAATAACTCTGCTAAATTAGCACCCATGTACGAATCAGGGCCATACCAAATGTTCAAATTCGGAATCTGGGCAAATGCCTGTGTAACAATCCAAAACCATAGAATTAGAACAAGAAATGGGGAAAAAATAAAAGAAAAGAGCCCCTCATCATAAAGGTAGCAAACACTACCAAAGGAGGTATAAGAAGGATCAACTAAATGGAGATCCCTAGCTTAAAAAGACTATGATATGCTCCAATTTACTGACCTGTAGAACAGTTTGGACAACATTTGAGGAGGTACATGTAATTGTTGGCACAAGCTCATGGGATTTTGCCTTGGTGTTCAAGGAAGTATTGATGTAGATCACATGCAAAGAAGGAGGTGACCGTGAAGCCCCCTCTAGGAAGTTAGTGTAAGCAGGATTTTCTGCAGCTTCCGCCAATGAGCAGCCAATCTGTTCACTTGACATCCTGTACACACCAACCTGCAATCTGGCTTGTCAATTAAGGTATAAAGAAAAATAGTAAACATGAAAAATTTCTGCTTAAAAAGTTCTCATTGCTATATATTTCATGGATATGCTATTGAGGTTCCCGTTTTGGATTCCCTGACAAAAAGCATGCTGAGAATGCTGAGGAAAATTTCCCATCCCCTAACTAAATTTGTATAAAAAATTTATATGCACCATATTTATATCTGAAGAAGGGCCGTATGGTTGATTAATGCTGAACCTACATATTTCCCATTCCCTAAAAAGGTATGAACATGAATGTTTTGTATGAAGAAACTCCCATTATGAATTTTTACAATCCTGGAGTAAGTAACTACATCATTCATCTGCATCAAACTAGTAACTTAGTCATTCAAAATCATAGATTTACCTCACATATATGTTAAGGCATAATCAACATCAACTGCGAATGTGTTATACTGTGGTTACTCTGTAGTTCAAGTGGCAGTTACATGACATTCATGTACACATCATGTAATGATTATGCATAGCTTTCCAAAAGTGAGTTGATGGAGAAGAGAAGATGGGATGTTCAATAACAATACCTTCTCAAAGCCAGACTGATCAAGAATTGCCCGAACATTTTCAGACATGAAGTCAACACCCAGAACCGTGATAAATTTGCATCCATCCTTAGCCATTTTTACAGCTGTATCAGCCATAACCAAGGAATCAGATATGCGGATATGCGGCCATTGCTGTGCTGCTGCAGTTAAGACACCTTGGACCTCTGGATCCATATAAAAGTGTGCAACAATTCCAATCTTCTTCTCTGTTAAAACTTCTACAAGTTCTTGAACCTTCAAGTCATCGGGGGATAAAAACTTTGCCTGCAAATACACTATAATGCAACTCAGATGCCCCATTGAGCCAATATGTGGATATGAAAGATATAGCACATTAAATAGTAGGGCCTGTCTGCAATTAGCTGCAATCAGCCCAGGAAATATTATCATGTATGATTTGTTTGTGTAACAGTTATGTTTCAATTACACCATGGCCTGTCTGTAATTGTCTGCAATCAGCCCAGGAATATTATTATGTATGATTTGTTTGTGTAACAGTTATGAGTACACCATGAAACTATTCAGGGATCAAGTACAAGAAAATCACAATAAGGAAAAAATAAGGATAATCATAACAATTAAGATAATCATCATCATCACTCAAGCCTTATCCCAACGATTTGGGGGCGGTTACGAATCATGTTATGCCAATCTACTTTATCCAGGCCTATACCCTCAATTAGACCGTAAATCACCATATTTTTTTTTATTACTTCTATCCATGTCCTTTGGGGCCTTCCCCTTGCCCTTTTATAGCTTTCCACTTAAATCAAATCATCCCTCCTAACTGGTGTTATTCTAGGTCGAAGCTGCACATAACCAGACCACCTAAGTCTACTTTCCGTCATTTTATTGCCTATTGGAGCTACCTCTAAGTTTCCTCAGCTGTACTCATTCCGAATTCTATCCTTTGTAATCTTGGCACTCATCCATCTCAACATCCTCATCTTAGCTGCACTCTGTCATAACTGACTCAGTCTTGGGAACCTAAGAAGTCCCAATACGAGTCTTTTTTTTTTTTTGACACTAAACATCAACTACCATGTATGTACAGCTCAAAATAGGTGGATTTGGCCTTTGGTTTGGTAACTAGGATTTAAGTGCCAGAGCACAACCATCATGGATTCAAATACCAGTTTATCCTATTAAAACAAGGCTCATAATTCCTAACTACCAAACAAGTTCTTGGAACACTAGCTGTAGTGTATAGAAAACCTAAATGGATTACACATGATCATGGTTCCTTTTAGAAGAAGCATGAATTATCACAGAGTCAAACACCGACTTGTACATGCGTGAATCAGCACAAAGCAAAGGAAAAAACTATTATCACATCAGGAAAGAGGTGAAAGCTCGGTAACCAGTGTGTATAGTATCATATTTCTGCTTTTACTTCAAAGGAAAGTGTTCATCAAACCTTGAGAAACATTGCACAAAAGGTTTTGCAACAATTAAATGTGATGAAAAATGAAGCATTATAAATGAAATATCAAAAAGTAGTTGCAAGTTAGTAGGGAACTACACTCCATGTTGCTCTTGAAAAGACATGGTAGAAGACCAATAACAAAAGAATCCTGAACATATTTGCCAGCGCATGAATGCATTTGGGAAATGACCTATAGTACAGGGGGCATGCTTCATCGAAGGGGGATTATTTAGGTTCTAGAAACTCCAAAAGAAAATGGAATATGAAATGCCAAGAAAATAATTGTGAATTGTGTCCTCTCAAATAGTGCAACCAAAACGAAGATAATGAAAAGGGGATTCTTTGTAAGACTCAAAATAAATGCAAGGGGAAGCATGTTTATGCAATTTTGTAAATGGGGTGATAGAAGTTAAAGAGAAAGGTTTTGGAAGAAAGGAGCCTCCCATCTGTTAACAAGTTTAACCTGCCTTTATGTTAGAAACAAAGGGTTTTGACAAGGATTATTCAATGGCAAAGTTTATGAAACAAAAGTATGATTCCTGTCTTGCATTCTTTAGAATTCTGATGCAGATATTAGCACCAAAATTTACATAAGATCCATTATCAATGACTACAAATAAAATCAACTAATGACATTGAGAGCAAACAGCTCCACAACAATACATGTTCCTCAAAATTGCTTTCATTTCCATGTCTTTTTTAGTAGGAATTTTAACCAATAGATAACAAATAACCAAAGTCTCATAAAACTCATCTTAAAATCCACATATATCTTCCATCACAAGAGCACATCATTCATCTCCAGAAACTTCTACAGCCTCAGATATGAGCCATTGAAATATGAAATCCAAACTTCCATTTCATAAAAAAAAGGCAAGGTTCACGGGCTAACCTGAGCTTCAGCGTAGCTCCCTTGTGGGTGAATCTCATCAGAAGCCACAACCAAAGAAGGGAAAGGCTCAACAAAGGGCCTCCCATCTCTCTCTGCAACAAGAGCCCTGGTCTTCTTCTGCATACTAAGCAACACATTATGCCATGTATTCACCCTTGAATGAGCTCGGCCAGCCAAACCCACATTCAAAGAGGCCAAATCCTCCGTCTTCAAACGAAGAACCTCGTCAGGAAAAGCTCCATCGAGAACATGAATTAAGCAAGCGCAAAAACCCCTTGTTATCTCTGAATCACTATCGGCAAAAAACCTCATCTTCCCACCTTCTTCCATTTCAGCTTTTAACCACACTTGAGCTGTGCACCCCATTACTCGATTATTCTTAATTTTATCAGAATCATTGAGATGGGGCAAGAAAGAAGCATAGTGAAGAAGCCTCTTAACCCTTTCCACTGGTTCCACCAGGCCTTCAAACTCAGAAACAAGCCTTTGGAGCTCACAATAAGGAAGGTCTTCAGAAACACAATAATTTGAAACATTAGTAGGCCTCTCCGCTAGAGCACAGCACGCGATGAGGGGGCGTCCTCGAAAGCTCTCTATCGGCTTGCAAAATCCTCCGTGTTTGTGATGATCAAGCTCCATTTTTGAAGAAATATGGAGTGGTTTGAGCCCAATGGCTTGAACAGAGAAGTGGGTTTGCTTCATCTGTAGGAAAGATGATGACCCATGTAAGGAGTTTGGCTGTGGTAACTTACCAGTGAAGTGAGAGGAGCCTCTAGTGGTAGTAGCCATGGATGCACAGTCCATCTCCCTTCCTTTATTGGTGTTAGCCTTGCTGGGTTGCTGAAAGCAAGACTAGTAGCCTACCAGAAAGAAAACAATTCCATGAGATTTAAAGAACTTGTGAGAGAGAGAGAGAGGAAGAAAACAAAACTACAGAGAGGAGAACTTGCAGAAAGAGTGGAATAAATGTCAACTGGAAGATCCTTGAATTGCGTGCTTTGTTAGAGAGAGAGAGAGAGGGAGGCGACCTAAATCTAAAGGAGGTGCGAGAAACGAGGTTAGCACAGGGCCCAAATCCTAGGAATTGACACAAGATTCGGGATTGAAAACATCAACCAAATATCAATTCTTTTTTCTTTTGGTGAACGGTAATGTAATATCAAATCTTCTTCCACATTGTTGCTGGAAAAAAATTAAAAACATCTTAAACTAAGGGTTGTTTAGATAGATAAGTAATTATTTGTTAAATGTGAGAAACATTCATAGAAAGAGAAGAAAAATAACAATTTTTGAGGTCGTACATGACGTATTCATTGAGAAATATTAGCATATGAAAAGGGCAAACAAAAGGACACTAGAAAAAAATTGTAAAAAATGAAAAGAACAGGGATTTACGGGGGTGTTTAAAGTTGAAACCACAGTTAGCAAATCGCCGTGGCGATTTTGTAAAAAATTAGGCTTTTTATGGAAACAGCTTTAAACAACGACTTTTTGCACAAAGTCAGGCAAAAAATAGCGTAGTTTTCATAAAACCGTTTAAAAGGCTCTTTTTTCATAATACGATTTAAATCAGGCAAAAATATCGTGTCTTTTTTTACCCATAATTTTTTTTTTTGAAAGATCTTTTTTTTCCTGTTTTGTGTATTGCAGACATTGCTACTTTCATGCCTTTTGAAAAAAATATTATTTCAAAAAAAAAAACCTAAAATAGAAACTTTTATCCCCACTATGTTCTTCAAAGCCACAGTTGCAGATTTCATTTGTTATTATGGAAAATCATTGTGTAAATGAATACTGTTTATAACAAATCATTTTGTAAAGTAAATCATTGTATAAAGAAATCATACACATGCAGATTTCTGTGATTATTTGTGATAATTGTTTTTATGAAAATCCTGTTTATGGTACAAATTAGAGATCAAAACATAGTCTTTTACTGATGAATGAGAAACAGAGAGTGTAAAGCCCATGACCTCTTTCTTCTTCCTTCTTCTTTTGTCTATAAACCCTAATGGCTATGAGCTCAGCCCTATTTCCTTCTCTTCCTTCTTCCTTCTTCTCTCTTCTCTTCCTGCTTCCTTCTCTCTCTAAACCGTAAACATAGAGATGTGAATCTCAAATTTCTACGAGCCTCCAATCAAATAAAGAAATTTATAAAACTTTAACCATAGTTATAGATAGAGTGACCATAGTCACTATAGTTAAATCAAATAAAGAAATTTATAAAACTTTAACCATAGTTATAGATAGAGTGACCATAGTCACTATAGTTAAATCATTGTAATGAGAAAACAAAAATCGTGTATCTGTTTTCGAACCTTTTAAGCAGGGATGTTTAAGTATTTAATGAATAAGTTTATATAGTATATTTGTCATCATACCATAGTTAAAGTATTTTAATGAATAACTTTATATAATATATTTGTTTTCGATATATAATAAGCGGGTATAATATTTCTTAAAGTATTTAATGGGTTGATTTATATGGTATATTTTTTTTGGTATATACTAGTTAATTATGTATTTAATATTGGATGATTGGATAAGAGTAACGAAGCACTTAAACTAACTGACTTAATTATATTAGTCTAATAAAGTTTTTATAGATGAATTAGTAATTGATGGCTTTAACATAATTTTTTTTTTTTAGAATTTCAAAATTTCTAATATTATAAATTTATCCAATTTTTTTAGCCTAATCCGATATATTAACGATATCTTTATATGAAGTATTTTTGCTCATCTGTATTTTTTACCTGATTTTTTCATCCAATTTTTTTAAATAATACGATTTGTTTCCGATTTTATAGTAAGCCGATTTATTGATAGTCCCCGTAACTATGGTTAGAAACTAGATCCTTCGAATAAGTCAAATTTGTGGGATCGTTGTCACCAAAGTCGCTCGAAATGTGGAGAAAATTTCAGATTTTTGGGGCCACAATCTGTCCTAAACTCTCTTTGTCTCTGGACTTTTTATATTCAAAGGTAGATGCGCCACAAAAATTTTTAATCACAAACTCACAATCAAAATTGTACTATTAGTTGACCCCCATATAGTAGGAAAAAGGCTCTACCATAATGAATCAAATTTTTACTCTTATCTCTTGTGAACCTCCTTGTGAAATGCATGCTACAATACATTAGTCATTTTTATTTCTTGCTGGATGATCATTTAAAGAACAACAATAATAACAAAAAAAAAAAAAACCTAAAGGAAAAAGTTTATATAAGGTGTGAACCTTATATTGTAGGAGTAGGATGCACTTAAAAAACCCATTGGAGAAGGATGTTCTTATGCTAGAAAGCATCAGCTCATCTTCGAGATTTTTAGATAAAAAAAACATGGGGTTTCTAATCCTAAAATTAGTTCATCTTTTAATATATTATTTGGGCCGTCCATTTTAAAGATTTTCAAATGTTTATAGATCTGCTTGATGGTCACTATTTCTGAAACTTTAAATTTCATAACTAAAAACAATAATAGATTTTCATATCATCGCAAGGCTTTATGGGTCAAAATTGAATTTTTAACATAGTTTTGAAGTGCACCTTACTTCAATAGTATAAAGTTGACACCTTTATAGCTAGGGTAGGGTTTAACCTCAAACCTAAAGATATTTGGGTCCAAAAGTTGGATCTATAACTGTACCCGTAGGGTCCAGGTTTTGATAAGCTCTATAGCTACTTTTACTATGAGCTACTTTTTTTATAGCCTACAACAATGAACAATAGAAAACCAATTTTTGAGGAGTTAACAATTAAAGAGTTATAGCCTACAACAATGAACAATAGAAAACCAATTTTTGAGGAGTTAACAATTAAAGAGAGAGAGCTATGACCCCAAAAAACGAAGAGAAGGAGAATTATAGAGAGGAAGGATTGGGATGGGGTTTGAACCTTTAAGAATCAAAAGAAGACGAAAAGTACTCATATGATATTAAAGTTGGGGATTAAATCTTAGAGTAAACTAAAATTAAGGGTTCACGTAGCCGTCAGGTCAAGTATAATATGAACCCTACCCAATGCTATTCGGTAACTTCTATTAGATCCGGACCCACTCCTATTTATAGCATAGGGGTTCCTGATGGGGTTCGTATCTGTTGTAATGGCAACGTTGCTTTTTCTGCCAGATACGGTTAAAAGGAGCTCGTGAAATAAAAAAATCCTTCCTCGAGAAAACCGTTGGTAAAGATTCAGTGTACTGCTTTGAGCCTTTTGATTTGATGTGCTATGTACCACGTATCTTTGTCGAACAGATAAATACAGCATGGCTTTTCACGAGGCCTTAATGAATACATATACTGTTTTCAGGTCAAGGCTAAAATAAATAAATAAATCTTACAGGTATTTGTAAATTATTACCCCACTAAGAGAAAATAAATAAATAAATCTTACAGGTATTTGTAAATTAAAACCCCATAACGTTGAAGGGCTCGATGAGAAAGTCAAAGGTGCAATAGATTAGCTTTCAAAGATGGTTGGTCAAAAAAAGGGAACGCATTTGGGTATTTTAAAAAAGGGAAAGAGCAAAAGTAGTAGTGAGACAAAGCATACATGGAATTGGTGTCTCCTATGATGACCCTATTCTCATTCTCACTAACTCATGAAATTTTTTGAGTATTTTTAAGTCAATATGACAAGAAACGAGGATTAAATATGAATATAGGAAAAGGCTCAAGATGTGGCGGGCCGTCGGAGGCACTTGTTACAGCGATAGATATTGGATTCGAAACTGGGAAATTGTTTCATGCGCTCTAGACTGCATTTCTACACTATGCGGTATAGAGATATAAAGTATCCATCTTAATAGATGGTCCATTTAAAAACAAGAGTAATTAACTGTTCAAATATTTTATTAATATAATTATTATTTTTAATTTTTAATAATTATTATTTTTAATTTGTAATTTTTTTGACATCCGTCTCATGTTTGATGCATGAGGAGATGCACATGATGTGGTGAGTCGGCTGGCTCACCAAGACATTGTAAAGTGAAGCTGAATTTATTTAAGGGTACGGTTTGTATAGAGCCTTGGCTCTAAACAATCAAATTAGAGCCTACCTTCAAATAATGTCGAGAAATATGGTTTCAATACTGGAAATCTTTTTGATAGCCTTAAACTATATTTTCATCTTTTATTTATAAAGTTTAAAGCTTCAAAAATAGTATAGATCGAGAGATCTATGAAAACTTGAAAATCTTGAAAATTGACGGTCCAAAAATGAGTTACAAATTACACTATCCATGCATCTTGATGCCGAGGTGATCAATTTGAGGATTTTTTAGCATCAAAACAACCTCTTCTAGTAAAATTTTGAGGTAGGCTCTAATTTGATTGTTTAGAGCCTCGGCTCCATATAAACGTTTCCCTTTATTTAAAGTTGTGGTTTGTATAGAACCAAGGCTCTAGACAATCAAAGTAAAATACACCTTAATAGTGTTGAGAAATGTAGTTTCAATACCGAAAATCTTTGTGATAGCCTTAACATATATTTTTATTTTTAATTATAAAATTTAAAACTTCAAAAATAATGTAGATCCAGCAGACCTATGAAATTTTAAAATATTGAAAATTGACGGTCCAAAAATGCTTTACAAGATGTGTATTTCCAAAAACTTGAAATCTATTTCTTTTCTCATGTCCATGCATCTTGATGTCGAGATGATCAATTTGAGGATATTTGAGCATCTAAACAACTTCTTCTAGTGGCATGTTCGAGGTGAGCTCTTATTTGATTGTTTAAAGCCTACTCTATAAAAAGGTTTTCCTTTGTTTAAGGGAGGTTTGTATAAGGTGTCAAACCTTATACTATTGCAGTAAGGCGCACCTTAAAACTATGTTGAAAATGCAATTTCAGTACTGCAAAAGCCTTTGCGATGATATGAAAATATATTGTTGCCCCCCATTATGAAATTTAAAGTTCCAGAAATGGTGATGATCAAGCAATTCTATAAATATTTGAAAATGGACGGTCTAGATAATATATTAGAAGATGAACTACTTTTAGGACTAAAAATCCCCCATGTTTTATGTCTATTAATCTCTAGGTCGAGATGATTGATTTGAGAGTTTTCTATCATAGAAACAACCATCTGGGTTTTTTCGGTGCACCTTACTTGTACCGTATAAGGTTCACCTTATATAAACTTTTTTGTACTTTCAATCTTATAAAGAATATCTTGGTTAGACTATTTTTCTAGGGTGGCAATGGGCCAGGTGGTCCAGCCCAGACCTAAAAAAGTTAGGGCCAAAGCCACAAAAAATAGCCCTAGACTAGGGCCGTGCAAGGCATGGGCCTGGGCCATACA